CCTCAGCCTCCCAAAGCGTGGGATTACAGGCTGAGCCACCAAGCCCGGTAACACATTTTTAGCAATAAAGTATCTTAAAATTAAGGTATGGGCCAGGCTCGGTGGCTCAGCCTATAATCCCAGCACTTTGGGAGGCTGAGGTAAGTGGATTGCCTGCCCTGAGGGTTCAAGACCAGCCCGGGCAACTTGGCGAAACCTCGTCTCCACAATAAATAAAAAATCAGTCGGGCATGGAGGCGTGCGCCTGTAGTTCCAGCTACTTGGAAGGCTGAGGCGGAAGGATCCAGAGCCCAGCAGGTCAAGGCTGCGGTGGCCAAGAGTATGCCACTGCACTCCACCATGGGCGACAGAGTGATACTCCAACTCAAAAAAATAAAAAATTAAGATAAAATAAAATTAAGGTATGAACTTTTTAAAGATATGTTATTGCAGACTTAATAGATTAAAGTGTAAACACAACTTTTAAATGCACTTGAAAACCAAAAAATTGATACGACTCATTATATTTCAATTATTCACTTTATGTGGTCTGGACCCAAATTCACAATATGTCCAAGGTATGCCTGTGTAAAATTTCAGGTTATCTGTCTCTAACCTCCCAGGACTAAGGGGATAATTAAGCACAGACTGAATCACTTTTAAATGTGTTTTTTGTTTTTTTTAAGTTGGAGTCTCACCGTCACCCAGTCTGGAGTGTATGCTCACAGCCACTGCAGCTGCAACCTGCTGGGCTCAGGTGATTCTTCCATCTCAGCCTTCTAAGTAGCTAGAACTACAGGCATGAGCCATCACACTCAACTAATTTTTCTTGATTTATTGTAAAGATGAGGTCTTGCCAAGTTGGCCAGACTGGTCTCGAACCTGTGGGCTCAGGCAATCCTCTCACCTCAGCCTTCCAATGTGCTGGGATTATAGGTGTGTACCACCATGCCCGGCCTAAATGCATTTTTAATGCATTTTCTATTATAAAGAGTTTCTGGTATATTAATGGTTTGCCAGGCTATTATTTATTAGGATGATTTATGCTTAACTTCCATTTACCAATGGTATCTACTTCTGGTAAATGAGTAGTTCTCTAATTACTGTATTACAGGAAATACAAAATTAATGATATTATAATGGCTGAAATATATTATCTAATTCTTATCCTTATGTTTTAAAAGCAAAAGACTTTATACAACGAGTGAAATAAAAAATAAAAGTACTTTAGTTTGTCTGTCACTAGCTGTGAGTGCTAATTCTGTGACCCGGGGCAAGAACACATCCAGGTAGATGACAGGCTTCATCTCTCTGAAGGGCACCGCAAAGCGCAGTCTCTTCTCTCTGTCCCAGGCCACACATCTCTTCATCATGTCATCTGAGGATGCAGCTGTTCAAAAAGATTTAAGAGGGTTTTTTCCATTCAAAATCTTTCTAATACCAGTTGTTCCACATCTCATTAGTTAAACCAGAGTGCTTTTTCAAAATTCCTTTAAGTGAAGTACTTTATTTATCATTCCTTTTTTTTTTTTTTTGCTTCATACATGTAATTACAACATTAGAAATCACTGATATACTAGTTCTAAACTTAATTTAAGGTAAAATTATTTTTAAACAAATCTAGCAGGCTCAAATGTTTAATATCCAAATTCAGTGAAAGTTCCTTAAGGTATTTTGTAGAAAAATGGCAAACAAACAAAGTTTTTACTGAAAAGTCTCCTCTTCAACCCTGTGGCCCATTGCAAGTGAACTGGATAAAGAAAATGTAGTACATATACACCATATAATATGACGCAGCCATGAAAAAGAATGAAACCACAGCCTTCCCAACAACTTGGATGCAGCTAGAGACGATCATACTAAGTGAACTACCAGAGAAGCAAAAAACTGAACACACCACAGGCTCTCACTCATCAGTGGGCCCTGAACAAGAGTCACACTAGCTCTAGGGTGCGATCAGCAGTCCACGGGCACTGCTAGGGGAGGGAAGAAGAGAGGAAAGTGGGGGCGCACGGCAGCACAATGGCTCCTGGTCCACTACCAGGGGGACTGAGGGCCAGCATAGAAACTCAAACTTCACCTGCATGCAGCCTACTTATCCAGTAAATCCTTGCTTGTACTCTACAACTCTATAATAAATAAATTAAAAATTAATTAACTAAAAAGTCTCCTCTTTAAAATACTTCATTAGCAAAACCTCAATTTCTCAACCAACTCATCTTCGACAAAGCCTCCACCACCTACCACTGGGGAGAGGAGAACCTATTCAGTAAATGGTGCTGGGAAAACTGGCTGACAACATGCAGAAGATTGAAACAGGACCCCTATCTATCCCCATGCACAAAGGTTAATTCCAAATGGATCAGAGACCTAAGTGTAAAACCTCAAACCATAAGAACCTTAGAAAATGAAGGAAATACCCTCATGGAAATCGGAACTGGCATCCAATTCCTGAACAAAACCCGAAACCCAAAGGTCATAAGAGAGAAGATAGACAAGTGGGACGTTATTAAACTGACAAGCTTCTGCAAGGCCAAAGAAACCATCAAGAGAGCAGGGAGACAGCCTACAGACTGGGAAAAAATATTCGCCAACACCAGGTCTGACAAAGGCTTAACATTCTGGATCTACAAGGAACTAAAATGTGCTGAAAAGAAAAAAACAAACAATCCCATTATCAAATGGGCAAAAGATATGAACAGACACTTCACAAAAGAGGACATCCGAGCAGCCAACAAACACATGAAGAAATGATCAGCCTCACTAATCATCAGGGAGATGTAAATCAAAACCACACTGAGATACCACCTAACTCCAGTCAGAATGGCAATTATCAACAACTCAAAAAATACAGCTGCTGGAGAGGATG